GAGAGAGAGAGAGAGAGAGAGAGAGAGAGAGAGGTATATATAAATATACATCTGTTTAAGGTTCAAGAGTCAGCGATCATCAAGTGCGGACAGTATTACTAATAATAATGTTTTAAATGCTAAGAATAAATCAGTAGTAGTAGATAAAAACACTATTAACGATCGTAAAAATGCGATACCTACTAGAATTAAACCATTATATCATAATTGTTATTTACAAGCACCTGATGGAGATATATTGTGTACATGCGATCGCAAGAAAGCAGAATGGTATATTACGAAAAATTTAGGAAAACTTGTGGAGACAGATCCATATACAGTCAGATTAAATTTTGAGCCGTCTGGCCGAGCATTGGGAGAAGTTGGACAATATTATACACAGGTGAAACTTAATCAATGTGTAGTCTGTGGATGCACTGAGAAATTTATTAGAAAAAATGTTGTACCACGAGAATATCGAAAGTATTTCCCATGTAAGCATTTTTATCATTGTTTTATCCATTATATAATATTAAAAATAAAGATATAATATAATATCTATATTGACTAATAAATAACATGCCAATCTAATAAGTATAAGAATATAATCCTTCTCCATATACATATGTACTTATCAAAATGAACATTCTTTTCAGTGGTAATGAAAGCACATCAATCTCATGATGTATTATTATTATGTCCTTCGTGTCATGAAATTAGCAATAACCATGATCTGCAACTCAGAAGAAAGTTAGCAGACATGTGTGATGCACCGTTAATTGGGCCAATGACACATGTACGAGACAATTTTTTGCATAACCGCCGAAAGTTGCATTCAGCTGTTAAGGCTTTGAGGGAAAAGTTCACGTTACCTCCCCGACAACGCGAAGAGTATGAAAATTACATACTAGAGCATACGGGACAGCAGAAAATTACGCCGGATCTGCTCAATGGTCTGAACGAGCAACTGAAGAATGCACTGATCCAGAAACCGATACCTAACAAGTATCAGCCACATGGCTTAAAGGTACTGATTTTAAAATAAATCGTTAAAACAAATCTGTGAAGTCTTTGTACTATTCAGTTTAATTTTATTCAACAGGTGGTACAACATTTTCAAAAGCAAGAAAGCGGACTTGTCGAATTGGAACGTATGTGGAGAGAACATTTTCTCTTCACAATGAAACCAAAGTACCTGCCAAGTTTATGGTCTGTACGTCACAATCAAGAACGGTTGATCATACGCCAGGCACAAAATAGAATCGATGCGGATGATGCAAAGGCGGCCGGATTAACTCAATAGTTAGAATTTGATTATTAGAACTGAAAAGTCTCGTATAAGAGCGAGAACTTCTCTCCACAAAGACTGTTACATCAATCAATATATCTCCTGTGAATATATATACATATATATGGCTATATTCTACTTTTATTTATCTTCATGTAACATGATGCAATAGTATGAAATCCACAAATCATATTCCTTAATATAGAAACTAACATTTTATTCTCACAAAAGTTTCAAACATTGTGCGCGCTCAAAATATACATCTTGAAATCAACATTTCCAAGATCATATCACATATTTACAAAGTTCTATGTTGGACAAAGAAAAACAATATGCTATACTTTGAAACCATGCTAATCAATATCAGAATCTATTGTTTATTATGACATTATGTACACTTGTCTAGAGTTAGAATAAGTAAATTTAGACTAGGGGCAAATCTCATGGCTGCCTGGAAGTTTCTCGACTGCTCGTCGAAGCTTCCTGCGACGTTGGTGGTGGTGGTGGAGTCGCCGTTCCCTGTTGAGTTTTCAGTTCCTCGTCAACGCGTTCCTTGGCGCGGACAATCTTGGACTGCAGATAGAATGAGCCACCCTTCGACTTGTCATTAGCCTCCATGAGATACTTGTAGTTTCGTTCGATCAACTCTGTCTGGTCAGGACGCTCCACATTCAGGATGCGTAGAGCCTCTTCTAGGGTGAGACCGATCCTGGTGTTGGCGGCGGCGTGTTGCGCTCCCTGACTGCCACCGCCCGCCCGCCGCGCCGCTTCCTGGCTCGCCGCGATCTCCTGGCGTAACGCGCGCGCGAACGCTTTGCCGACGACCTGCGTGCCCATCACGATGATCTGTATCAGGTACTTCGCCATGGCTTAACCTCACCGCGCGCGCTTACAGCACGTCGACGTGCAGACGAGCTGCCACGCCGGCGTTATCTATCCTCTATTCCTCTCGTCACTCTCGTGTCTGACCGGCTGGCCGGTCACTGTTCCAGAGTTGCGTTTTTCTGTGTAAATTTGTACCTCTGGTCATGTATCAGCAACACGATGTCTCGGCTACCATGAGAAACCTAACCTAGTGATTACACATGGCAATCGTAAACGACGTAAATTTGCCCGCCTATTACGATCGTGAGTGGGGTAAGGGAAATAGAAAACGTGCTCTGCTTTCACGATTTATACATTGTGTAACATTATGTTTTAAATATATCTATTTTTCTTTAAGTTTAACTTTCTTATGACAAAATCTATATTAATTTTAATGATTTTGTTATTTATTTATTTCGTCTGTATGAATTCATTTCAAGGGTGCATACGTTCCGTTTTGATATCATTTCATCCTTGCTATTCACCGAATGTTAAACGAAGATAAAATGATAGATTATCCGTAAAGTGGAATGCACATCAAGTTGAGTTTGCTAAACTTTGTTTATTTGCATTAATATGATGTTACGTACGCGCGCGCGTTATTATAGTTATTAGTACAGTGATTGCAAAAAGTATTCGTACAGAGAAAATGTTTTTTAAAAAAACTTTTTAAAAAGCAAACATCATCTAGTAAGAAATGAATCATCGAATCGATGTCGAATGAATATCGATACGATGATTTCAACACTAATTTAACGTCGACTCGACGTTTAATTGATGATCCTTTCTTGCTGGATAATTAACAATTTATTCATAAAGAATAAAATAGATTGTATGTTTCTTAAAATTATATATACCAAAAAGATGTGTATTAATTATAGAAAATATATCATCTGAAAAATAAGCGAAAATTAAAAATTGTATTGTTTGGATGATCACAAAACATTCGTACGAAAAATTTGGCTTCTAAAATCAGAAACGAAGCTCGGTTGTTTATGTTAGTACAGAATGTATTCATTGTATAAAATTGCTAATTAATGTTTATTTTCTACAAATAAGATTTTTTAAATAAAAAATTTCCTTATACAAATACTTTTTGCTCTCACTGTAATTCTAATTGAAGGAAGCTGATGAAAACTGCGTATATACATACTTACAAAAAATGTATGAAAGTCATTCTCTTATAATTTATTATTTTCTATTTATCTTCATAATATGTTAGCTGCGTTCGGTTTTGCTTGTGTTCATCGAATTCGGTGAACCAGGATATAGAATGATTTATGCCAATTTGCAAAACCGATTGTTTTGTTAATTAATTTATCTTATTAGGATTCTTCAATTGGGGTGTACCGCAGAAAATCTTTAAAATGTACTACGAAAGTTGTAGAAAATATTAGGTCGGGGAAAATTGCTTCGTATTTAAAAAAATTTTTTTGCAAAAATCTTTCATTTGTTGCGAAATTTTCGTTACAATTATATCATTCGCTAGAGCAAAGTTTCAGCTTTAAGAATCTGTTTTTTAAATTGCCGTATGATGATTTTTATCAGAGCAATTAAAGTCAGAATGCTCCTTTACTTAATTATAAAACTCGGGAACAAAAAATCATAGGAACATTTTGAAAAAATGATTTTGTAGGGAAAGCTTCAAGCTTTCATGATAGGTAGTCGAAAGTTTTCGTAATTTTTTTTTGGGCACGTGAGAGATCCCCAAAGTGAAAATAAAATTTTTCATCTTTTTCAGCTCGTTTTTTCAATGTAAAAATTACCAAACTCACAGAAACTAAAAAAATATAGTAACCTTTCGAAAGTAGAGATTTCAAGCTTAAAAGCCCTTTTTTTAAGTTTAAATTTCGTTCATTTTTCACGAAGATGTTGTATATACAATTTTGAATTAAAAAATACGAAGAAACTTTTTCCCCGACTCAATATAAAACGAATAAAAAAATTTAAACATAAGTAAAAAGCGAGTGAAGAGCAAAAATAAAAACTATTAATTTTAAAAATTGTGAAAGCCTAAATTATATATATCTATTGTGTTTATAGCTTTATTTTAATCAAAGCGATATCGTCATTATAATAAATTAAATTAAAAAATAATGGAATAACAAATAAAAACTTTAAAACTTTTTTTTTTAAATGTTAATGTGTTAGCGGTATCTGGGAAAATTATGTCTATACTGCTAAGTTCTGCAGTGTTTGCACTTCTAAAATTTGAATTATTATTTAATGTGCTACGAATTAAAAAAAGATTGAATTGACTTAACTGATAATTTTAGAATTTATATAGGTTATATGTGTGATAACTTATAAGTAATAAAATATTTATTAAACATTTCTTGTTTATTGTTCGAGATTCAACGTCGTCTTTCAAAGTCGTCCGTATCGACAGTTTTCTTATCGTTTAAAAGTTAACTACCGATGAGCATACCTAAGCAGAACAATATAGATATAATAAGTCACATTAACGTCAAATTGACGTGTTAAAATGAATTGTAACATAAAAAAATAATTTTTTATTATTAAAAGATGATTTTTAATAATGACTTTGGAGGCATTTCACAATACCATATATTAATAAATTTCTTAAAATGTGTTGATTCTCAAGTATTTATAGTGGTCAGGCTCTGTTATAAGGTCTCTAGTTTGGATCAGTTTGGACGCTTTTAGTACTTCATATCCTTCCTAATCCATCCCATATACAGCACAGAAGTTTGCAGCAATATTACTGCAATATTGCTGGAATGATGTATGTTGCACGAGTTTTTAGACCCGGTTGCACCAACGTTACTTTGACTTTGTAAGCGAAGCTTAAAGCTTTCTGTATCTCTCTTTAGGCTTTAAAACGAGACAGAATTTTAAATCTCGCTTAAAATCAAAATAACGTTGATGCAACAAGGCGAAATACAATAAGTGTAATAAGTTTTAATTAAGGAATCATTCAATCAGTCGAATGTGAGAATAACACTCGATTATGATTGTTCAATTTCTTAATGGGTTTTCTACAATACAAGCTACGTTCGAAGAGCTCGCTATCATTATTACACCATTCTATCCTTGTCTAATGAACGATAAAGACAGAATGATGATGATAAGCGCTATAAGCATCTAAAAAGTGCTTTCCATTAGTGACACAAGTGTCGTTCTACCTTGATTACTTATTAAATGTAAAGAAAGATAGAATAATGCTTAATTGTGTCGATTTGTATCACTTATTCATTTCTTTCAATACAGATTATCTTGGTTCAACTTACTCTTCATCTTTCTCTAATTCTTATAGCTGGACAAAGCGGTGAAGAGTTAGTTGAACCAAAATTAAAATTACATTACATTGATAGAAACGGGCATAAATGGAAAGCGAATGAAAACCGAATGCATCCAAAGCGTAGGATAATAAGTACAGCTGCAGTGTGGCGCGGAGGTGGTGGTCGTGCGCTCCCCGTCACCCGTGCCGTGCACCCCCTCGAGTTGCATTGCACAAGTTCGCACTCAGCGTTGGCCAGCGTGGGCCGACTGCCGTCAGCCGTGTGCCAGCACTCGAGAGTCCAGCTGCCAGCAGTGCCAACAGCGTGCGCGGTGCGCGGCGCGCGCGAGCAGTAGCGTAGCGAGTCGCGGTCGCGCGAGTTCGCCGTTGGGCGAGTCGAGTCGAATCGAGTCGAATCGAGCCGAGGCCGAGAGCCGAGTCGGGTCGCGCGAGAACAAGCAAGCGGGACGAGCCAAAGGAGAGCAAAGCTGGTCTCAGTTCTCTCCTCGGTTCCTTCGTCTTCGTCGTCGTCCCGTATGCGCGTCCCTCGTCGGCGCGTCGCCGTCGGCCATTGTCCCTGACATGGAAGCCTACCAAAATGGCAGAGATCGTGCAGATGTTTTTGTTCCTATATAAATCCAAGTACCGTCGGAAACGTCGTCGCGACGTCGACGACGATGACGGCGGCGGCGCGTGGTTCGATCATAACCGCGAGCAGAATTGCGATCGGCGGTGGCGATGTCGGTGTCGGTGTGGCCATGGCAGCGGCAGCGGCGGCGGCGGCGGCGGCGGTAACGCGACCGCGACGGTGCCGTGGGCACCGTTTCTACTGTGGGCGGCGCTCGTCTGTTGGGTGGTCCACGTAAGCGCCGCCGCCTCCACCTCCTCGTCGTCGCCGACGTTGGACGCGGGCTGCGACCCCGACACCTGTGTCAACGGCGTCTGCGAAAATGGCATCTGCGTGTGCCGCGAGGGCTGGCAGGGCGCACACTGTCAATTTTGCGGTGGGAAAGTCAGGTAAGACGTTCACCTGTCAATTCAGGAGATTCAGATTTTGCGATTCTGTCTTTTTTTATTCCTTTCACCCAATCTTCTATTTCCCCCTCATTTTCTTTTCTTACTTTTTTTGGTTCAATCTTACGACGCATCGTTGCCGTCTCGTTTTTTGGAGCGCAAGACGGAGCAACGAGTGTTTGGCCTGCACACTCCTCCGGGAGGAACGCCTCCCAGATGCTCGGGAGACTTGTACATACATGTGGCAGATACTCTCGCGAGCCTGTGTGTTTCTCGTATATATTTTAAACGTCGTGTCAAGTGCAACGGGATCTCTCCACTTTCTAGGTCGTCCTCATCGCTTCGATCGCGACGAGTTCCGGGTGAGCGGGCAACGGAGGGATCCACCCCCCTCGCGCGACGTAAATAAATGCCTGCATGGATGCGTGCATGCGTGCGTACGTGCTTTCGATCGCTTCTTCTCGAGAGAGGCGTCCTCGGAAGCTTGCTCCTGTTAGCCGCGCCGCTCAATAGCTTTTCAGTCCACTTTCTTGCTCTTCTTCTTCGACGTTCAGTCGAATTTCTATATTCGACTAGTTGAACGATTATTTTATTTTGTTTTGTTTGGGCCTTTACAAGGAGAAAGCGGACGAAGGTATCGTTGAGCTAAACCCGTATCGGGTTCTTTTCTATCAATTGAGACCAGTGTATAGTTACAATGAGTAACTGTAATCTCGGTTTAATTTACTCTTTATGTTTTTCTAATTCTTAAAACTAGAAAAATCTAATTTTGAACCTTAATTTTGAATCGAAATTAAAATTAACCCTTACAATACAAGGTATAATTTGGTGCCTCATCCGTCTGTTTTTATCACCTATTTAGAATGGTCCAAAAAATCTGTAAAAATTCACCGACATACTTCCAACTTTATAGAATAAATATTGTAGTTTCATTTTGGAAAATAATAAAATGTACAATTTATAATTATCGAAAGACTGAAAGAAACTTGCACGAACAGGAATCGCTCGGTCACTAGTGACCCGACCTTGTATGATAGGAGTTAATTTACACTAGTAAAAATGGATTGTTGTATACAATGAAGACTATGAGAATTGCGAATTGGGATTAAAATTCACTTAACTTGAGCAAAATATATCGAAATTGAAATTACCTTTCTTGATTGTAAAATTCTAATCTTTAATTATCTTAAAAATTTTAACTTCGCAATCCTCAACTTCCAATATAACAGTCTGATGTCTATTTTTACTAACGTAATTTTTACTAACGTGATTTTATAATCTCAATTCCTTTCTACCAATATAACTCTATTGGTGTTTTAATTTACTCTTATGCTAATTCTATAAAAAGAAAGTTAAGTTGATAAAGAGTATATAATTTGAATTATACGATTAAAGGTAATTTACATTGTTAAAAATAGACAATAGACTGAGAGTTATATATACATTGGGAATTGAGGATCGCGAATTGAAGATAGACTAAATTAGAACACAATAGAAAATTAAAATTATCTGTGATTGGTCGAGTTCTAATTCGCAAATTCTAATTCACCTCGTGTCCTTCTACCAATGTAGATTAATTTTAATCTCAGTTTAATTTATTCCTTATCTCTTTCTAATTCTTAGAACGAGAGAGAGCTATAATTGATAAGGAATAAGTTGAACCCCGAGATTAAAATTAATTTACATTAGCAATGGACATCAAACTGTTATACATTAAGGATCGAAAATTGCGAATTGAAGATTATAGAATTTATCAAATTAGAACACAATAGAGAATTAAAATTTAAATTCACTGGTTTGTCAAGTTTTAATCTTCAAATTCGCAATCCTCATATATATTTCTATACGAATGTAGAACTTTAATTTCGGTGTAATTTACTTTTTTATCTTTGTTTATTTTTTTAGAAAGAGTTGAAAACTAAATCGAGATTGAATCTACATACCTAGTCTGATAGGTATGTAGTTTTATCGCAAGCATCGCAAAAGGCAAATCGGACAACTTCTCTGGAAGACGATCTAAGATCAGATTTGCGTGTCGGCCGACCGACTGATCGATCGATCGTCGTCGGCGTTGAGCTCTCGCTGTCGACGCGTCGGAGAAAGTGCTCTCTGTCAAGGATGCCGATTACGTCGCGTCGCGAAACATTCACCCGATACAGAGGAGGAACAAAAATATCCCGCCCACTCGTGCGCGAAACCAGCTTATAGCTCGAGGATTGTCCGATTCGAATGTATATCAAAAATTCGTCCGATTTGAATGTTCTATCGAAGATTTGAATGTATTTAGCTATTAAAAAAGCGAATTCCAATATTATTATATAAACGTATTAAGAATAAACTGCATTTCTATGAAGTTATATATTATTACCGGTTTTAGAAAGAGTTAGGTAACTTGAAACATTTCTCCTCTCTCTCTCTCTCTCTCTCTCTCTCTCTCTCTCTCTCTCTCTCTCAAGTTGAGAGAGAGATACTGATAGAGTTAAAAAGAGATGCTGGTATGCTCAATTCTTTTTAACGAGTTAAAATCAAGGAATGCACAGTTTATACCTATTACGTATGTGATTCTGTGAATGCAACGTTATCACGAAAAGACGCAAAACGATCTTCCTCGCGCGAGAAGGAAGAATCACTTGTTTCTCTTTTATGTCCGTTTCTACCACCGTAGATTAACTTTAATCTCGGTTCAACTAATTCTTCGTTTTTTTAATTCGAATTCTTAGGACGAGAAAAAGATAAAGAGTTAGTTGTGTGAACCAAGAAAAATTAAACTACATAAAATTAAACTACATAAAATTAAACTACATTAGTAGAAACGGTATTACACGAAGCACTATGGCACTCTTCGGAGTCACCAGATGTTCGTACGGAGTTCTTCGTGGAAAATGTCAAAGGTATATTTCACCCGATCGTCACAATCTGTTCATATCGTGAGCGTGCTCGGAAACGATTGGAGATATTCAACGGATATATTCTTGGATATGTATAATGAATATTCCACTACATGTCGAGAATATGTAGATATCAGGTGGATACATTCCATAATTATTCCCCAGCCCCTTCTTAGATATTTATCTGATACTTGAGGATGATTCGATGAATCACGTGAATGTTCTATCGATCGTTCAGAATTCCCTTGAATATTTAATGAACGCTCACATGTTTCGCGACATCTGAGTAAAGAGAAATTTTTGGATACGTTCGGGGAACACGTTTATTATGCTATTGTCTTATTTTATCTTTGTTTACGTCCAATGAATGATAAAGAATCATAGAATGATACAATAGCGCTGACAGCTTACTTCTCCAACGCATACTTTCAATTTCTAAAATTACGAATAGTTTATGGATTATGTTATTTAACAATAACGTAATTATTTAATAATATTTAATTAATAAAAAAGAATCTTTCAATTTCTAAGCTTATAATGCTGAAACTTTAATTGTGTGATTCGCAGCAGAAACATCTTGAATTATTTTAAATTTGCGATTGAATTCGAGATATTATTTTTAAAATATATTATTAATATAAATATAGTAAAAATATCGTAATTTTTTTACTTTAATGTCACGTGTTGTCACATTCATCGCGGAAATTGTGGTAGGAGCTCTCTTCAGAGACGAAAAAAAACGAATTCTCCGGTGCTCTTACTGGTTTGACAGTTTAGGTGAATATCGACTTTCGTCATATTTACCGGGAAAATTCTCGGTAAATCGCGGAAAAGTCGTGCAATCATTTGCACGCAAATACGATCGGACTTTCGCGTGAGATTTTCTGCCTGTCTCTGAGAAACTAATCCTAGTTCAGAGCATCACGGTGTTGGTGATAAAATGATTAATAGACGTTGCGAACGTGAGAAATAGATCGCAAAGCTTCGTCATCTTCCGTTTCGCTTTATGTAACGGGTTACGATGTAATTGTAATATTGCCGCACGTAAAAATTTTTATGACTAGTTGAAATCGCCACATGGACGATTTTAGATAAACTAACCGCGTTAATATCTGTTGTTATGCAGCACATCTTAAAAATGCGCAAAAGGAAATTATATATAGGATGACAAACAAGCTACAAAATTTTATGTGTATAAATTATTAGTAACATATATTTATAAAAAATTCTAGAGTGTTAATATCTTATTAAATACCAAAACTAATAATTAATACAAATAAGAGAAGACTACTATTTTCGGTTAAAGCGGATCTTGGTGCTTAGTAATATTTATATAAATATACAAATATAATTATCATTTCTCTAAATTATGCGGCGATTCGGTTTGTCAGACTTGATACATAATCATAAACTGAAATAACAAGGATCTCACAATTGAATTAATTGATCGTTGAATAATAATGTTATTATTATTCAACGATCAATTAATTCAATTGTGAGATCCTTGTTATTTCAGTTTATTAACATTATTATTATTATCAATAAAACCTGTAAAATTTACTAATTATTATTAATTGCTGATAATTAATATCCAAAATTTTAGCTTTGATATAAGCTTTAAGGAATCCTAAACTGAAAACTGAACTCCAACGAAATCATTGTTTTACTAATTTAATGGAACTCTTATACACATATGATTTACGTGATATTACTACATACTATAGCATTAATATCGCATGCACACACATACTCATAAATTTTCGTAAAGGATTAGTCTAAATTTATTCTAACAATTCGACGTTGTTTCTTTATGTAATTTACTATATAGTCTGGAGTCTCCAATTTTGTGAGATCTCCAAGATTGTGGGGAGCTTTTATATTAAGAAAATGTTGTCACAACTTGGTAATTCTAAATGTCATTGAACTAAGAAATTATGATGTAAGTACACCAGATGTGTGTAATGTTGCGTATAATAATAGCTAAATATAATTTAGGGCAAATTTCTTATTAGTAGCAAATTCTTAATAGCGGCTTTATATTGGCGTAAAAAATTGAAGTCAATTTCTGATTGGTCACAAATATTGCTACTTTAAACGACTACGCATCCTTGAAAT